AACTCCGGTGAGGGAACCGGACTAGAGCCGGCAGAAACTCCGGTGAGGGAACCGGACTAGAGCCGGCAGAAACTCCAGTGAAGGAACCGGGATAGAGCCGGCAGAAGCTCCGGTGAGGGAACCAAGACAGAGCCGGTGGGAATCCCGGTGAGGAAACCAGGGGAGCCCAGGCAGAGACGCCGGTGGGGCATTGGGAAAGAAGGCCATGAGGGCAAAGAGGGCCCTCGACGCCCAGTCCTTGTCCGGGGACAAGGAACAGAAGGTCTGTGACCAAAGGTGGCATTGGCTGGGGTGTAGGGGAGGTTGGAGCCCCATGAGAGCCCGCCCAGGGGTGCTTTGGTGCTGGAGGCTGCAGAGAGGGGGACCCCGCTGCTGCGGGCCCAGCCGCGACCGCGGTCGGCGAGTTCCGGGGACTCCCCAGCGAGAGCGGGGCAGATCCGGTTAGCCACCCGCGCAAGAGTTGTCCGAGAGCGCCTCTTGGAGCAGAGACGGGCACATACCCCACAGCCATTTTTCGCTGTGGGGACACTGATACATGTAACACTGGAGTCTGCTGGACTGCAGTAATTCCCATGCTTCAGCAGACTCAATTACAGCGCATGGAGCAGCCTCCCTGCACATTATGTTCAACAAACTACATGGCTAACAGATGGTACAATAAAAACTTTTGGTCAATACTAACCTAAAACAAATTCACATCGGTGACAATATCATATTGTTACTGTACCCTGGACTATCCACTCTTGCTGCATGCAATAGAATTAAATTACATTTCATTTTTATATGCTGTTCACTTTTTCCCCCCTAATATTCAAAGAATTAAGTAACCTTGAATACAAAAAAAGTAATCATGACCGCAACCAAATGTAACTGAATCATATAAATAGTTGCAAGATAACATGGTTTTATTTAAGTACATTTGGAGCATGTCCATCAAATATTCCAGATAAATACATACTGGACTTCATCAAAGCCTTTGATTCTGTTTCCCAAGAGATTCTCTCAACTAAATTGGAGGGTACTGGGCTGGATCAGTCTACAGTGATATGGGTGGACAACTGGCTTAGAAGCCAATCCCAGAGAGTTGTAATCGATGCAATGGCCTCATCCTGGAAGGCCATCTCCAGTGTTGTCCCCCAGGGATCTGTGCTTGGAACTGTGAGCGTTAATATATTTATTAATGAGTTGGATGAGGGGGTGGAAAGCTCAATGATTAAGTTTGTGGATTATACTAAACTGTGGGGAAACATGGGCACATCAGAGGTTAGGGTAAGGATCCAGGATGACCTTGACGAACTGGTTTTATGGACGGAACGGAAACAGATACGGTTGAACAGGGATAAGTGCAGGGTTCCTTATCTGGGTAGGAAGAACCTTCACCATAACTACATGGTGGTTGGTGGTACACTGGCTGGTACAGCATCTGAACGGGACCTGGGGGTCGTAATTGACCAGAAGATGAACATGAGTCAACAGTGTGAATGAAGCTGCCAGCAAGGCAAATAGAACTCTGCCGTTCATCAGCCAATGTGTTGGCAATAGATCCAGGGAGGTGCTTCTCCCTCTTTATTCAGCATTGGTGAGGACACAGCTGGAGTACTGAGTCCAGTTCTGGGCACCATACTTCAAGCAGGATGTGGATAAGCTTGAGAGGGTACAAAGAAGGGTCACCCATATGATTAGGGACCTGAAGGAAATGAGGAGAGACTCCAGGAACTGGGCCTGTTCAGTCTGAGTAAGAGAAGACTGAGAGGTGACTTGATAGCTGCCTACAAGTACGTTAGGAGTGAACATCAAGATCTAGGGGAGCAACTCTTCAGGAAGGCACCTCAAGGGAGGATGAGAACCAATGGGCACAAGCTAATAGAGGAAAAATTTAGGCTAGACATAAGAAAAAACTTTTTTTCTGTAAGGGTTACCAGAATCTGAAACACGCTCCCAGCAGAAGTTGTGCAGTTGCCATCCTTGGATGTGTTCAAGATGAGATAAAACGGTACTAAAGGCTACTGACAGATCTGAAGGATTCTGTCACTAAGGTGACTTCCAATACCAGGAACATATAATCAGCCAACACAATCTGTAAAGTTCCTGTCTAAATAAGGTTCACATAATAAATCAAATTATCTTCACAGCTAAAATGTCATCATCCTAGTAGTAATATTAGAGTGATGTTGTATCAATGATGATCTAGGAATTATGCAAGGGACAAGGATATCTTGGGGTAATATCTTTTATTGGACTAACTGCATAGTTTGGATAAAGTTAGACAAGCTTTTGAATGCAAAGTTTTGTTCAAAAGCTTATCTAGCTTTATCTCAGCCATGATCCAATAAAATCAGATCCAATTAAAGATTTAACCCAAAAAATCCTTACCTCTTAAATAATCTTCCTGGTGATTCTATAGACATATTGATTTGATCAATAGCAGAGAAGCATTTGATGATTGATATGAATATTTTCCCTTTTCATAAAAGAGGAAAAACAATTTGGCTGCAATGAGACAGATAAATATGTACTAGATTTCATTTTATTTAGGATGAACATTCATTACTGTTATATGTAAGAGAACATGATTATCATATTTAGTCTCATCAATCTAGTAACTGGCCTAGGTAGGATGCAGGCAGGCAGGCAGATATATTTATTTTATATCCATTTATTATGCCAGTGTAACTAAGAGGTGACTCTGGCTCAGTCTCACTGGCAGGCAGTAAAACCTGTTAGTAAGGTAAATCTGCTAGTATACTGGGCACTCTCTCTCACTCAAAGTTTGTGAATTTACTGAGGCATGGACCCACTGAAACATGTATTTCCTATGGCAAAACATTTTATTCACTACATAAAATTATTTCTCTGTGGTCAAATACAATGAACAACAGTATTTTTCATATTTTATCATTTGTATATAAGATGCTATTAGCAGTATTGTGCAGGTTAAATGGTACAATATAATAGTGATGATAGATACTACTAAACACATTTTAAAATGAATCCTCTACTATTCGACTTAAATATAGATGCGCAGGACGTAGGTAATATTTTTAAAAATGACTATCTGTTGGAGTTAGGCTTATAAATTCCTGACTCGTTTTAGAAAATGGGACATAGGCACTTAGGTTGTTTATGTTGTTTCGAATTTTTTATGCCTTGTCAGCACTAGAAAAAAAATGTACTCTTAACATATTACCTAAAGTATGCTAACTGACACATTAAAGTCCTAGCATAAACAAGGCAAATTGTAGCTTTAACATTTTACCTAGGCAAGGAAGACCCCTGGGAAGGAGGAAAGAGTATCCCTTGACCAACTAGCATGTATTAAAACTACAGATTGAATTGTTTATACTTGGAGTTTAATAATAATAGTTAGCACATGTTAAATGCAAACAATTATCCCAGGAGAAAGCCATATACAGACTGTATACTTCCCTAGCCAGTACCATGGTTGTAAAATTGTATCAAATGCCTCTTCATTCTAAGGTTTCCAATCATGAATTCATGTTTTAAATTAAATCATTTAACAATAATCATAAGTGAAACACAGAAACAAACAGCAACATTAGCCAAAATATTTCACATTTACTTTGGCAGAGCACAAACATGCTCCCCTATCCTCTTACCTCCAATGGAGATGATTGTATTGAAACACTGATCCCTAAATGGAAGATTAAGGTTGTCACATACCAATACTTCACAATCTTTCTTCTTTGAAATTTCCACTAATGGCCCACAGTAATCACATCCCAGATTATACACCTGACTGTTGACAGCGAGGTACTTTCCAGTCCCACAACCTAAAAAAGACACACTTTGTTATCATCATCTGCCATCCCTCACAGAATGAAAACATTTAGTGTGAAAATACTCTTTTTAATATTTCATTTTTTAAAAATAGTCTGGAAAAATGAAATAGGGGCTTGATCCTGCAGACTTCTTGCTCACTGGATTCATTTTATCGATTTAACCTGTATGTTCACATCACCAGGCATAGAGTAGTTTCCCCAATGACTAAATAAACATTTTGTTCCTTGGGCAGCATGCTTTTAAAAAGCTTCAAAAGACAACAAACAACATTAAAAGTCAATATTCTCCCCTCTGATCCACAGTCCACACACTTTTACACAGACTGCAAAGGTTTCTCTGATATCAGTAGAAATTCTACATTTGCAAATTCTACACTAGGCTCAAATGCTGCCACTCAGCCTAATACCCGGGTGCAAGGGATAGTCTCCTTGAGGTGCTGTGCAGGTGGAAGTGAAAGCAATCCTTCCATGCAGGTACTGGGTTACTCTGTAGCCACTACTACACACATCTCCTGGGCTACTACACACATCCCTTGTTAGTCTCTTTGCAAGGACTAACACTAACAAGAAGGATCAGTGAAGAAAGGGGTACTTAAGAGTCTCTCCCTGTTCTCCATCCTGGGGCCATCATGAAGCAAAACACCATATTATGTGTGTGTCACAGTACATATACCCCTCCAAATCCTGCCCTTACCTTTTGCCTGAGTTCAATTGGCAGTGGGAACTCTAGGGCTTCAGAGGAGAGAGCAGGATTTCCCTCAGACTGCTGCATATGTCCTAAAGAGCTGCAGCAGCTTAGAGGTGGGATTTTTTAACCACAAAACACATACTTAAAATGGTAGAAGCTCACTGTTCCCTATACAAGAAAGAAGTATTTCAGTGTCACAGGTACATTCATCCTCTAACCATTTTTGCTTTACTCCATTACAGCAGCACATTTGTGTGACAAGCAGCTACAGAATGTATCTTCTACCTGAAAGTATGTTTTGTATTACTAAAAGACTGGTGCTGTTCTAAATTGAAATCTTTCAGAGTGCTCTTCAATACCATATGCATCACAGGCACTTTTCCAAATTAGATTAGAAAACATTCAGCACAGTTATGGGTCAGTGGTGAGGAATAATCTCTGAAAGTTTACAGCCCAGCAGCAGGGAAACAGCAAGACACAGAGAACCATTTCAGTATTAGTAATTCAATTTAAAAGCCTGCAGTTATCTTTAGAAACAGCACTGCAGCTGTTCTCATTGATGCTAATGTACAACATTATCTACAGATACAGCACAATATCAGTGGGAGAGCAGCAAAACACTTCAGGAAGATTACACGGAGGTTAGCTCAGGTTAAAAATGGCTACCCGATTTAACTTAGTTTGCCCATATGTGGACCGTGCACTAGCTAGGTGGATCTAAGTGCAAACTGTACAGAAGTTCAGGACAGTTTAAAAATGTCTGACCCAAAATGTCTAAATGGTTTAAAAATGGCTGACCCAAAATAAATTAACCCTACCTCTGAGGTTCACTCAATTTAGAACAGATCAGCCATTTTTAAACCAATTTAGATGTCCCAAACTTCTGTACAGTTCCCAGCACAGCCCCAAGGCTAGGAAAGCCCTGTGGCTGGCCCCAGCCCTAGGGCTCCACTTTTCCAACCCCCTTACCCCACACCAGGCTATTCTTAGCCACCAGATGGACAACACCTCGGTCTCCCCAAGGCTTCCAAACTCCACATCCCACAAGCCTCTCCCAGTGCCACTTTACTGGAGTTCACCAGAGCCAGGAGCCAAGAAAGTGAGTCAGATTTGGGGGAAGAGTGGGATGAGAGGGAGTTGGTTCGCTGGGGGGGGATTGTTCGTCCAAAGCTGGGGGGGCTAAAAATAGCCTCTGTCCTGAGGATGAGGAAGAGAGAATGAGGAAGAAATGAAAGAGGCTAATATGTGAAAACTGCTCAAAAAAATACGAGATGAAAACTTAAGAGGTATATGTTAATAAGAGAACAGGAGTTGTTAAATTGAGATAAGGTATTATTACTTATTGGTTTGGAATGCTCCTGTCTAAAAAATGTAAGTTATGTGTATATTAATTAGAATGTTTTAACTTCAATTAATTGATGGGCAGTTTTGATTAAGTGTTTTTCATAATTTCAGTGACTATTCCAGAATACGGGAACTGTAAAGTAGTTAATAAAATTTAGTGCTGGCAATAAATGGGTTACAGTTCTACATCAGAATAAAACTGAATATTGATTACCACCCCATGACATAATATATACAGGATCTTGATTTTTAATATTGTTCATGAGAATATGTCAGTGATTTCTATTTATGAAATAACAATCAGTTTTTGTGAAAACAAAATATAAGGTCAAAGTCTGAGTAGTTTATCCTCATGAAGAAACAACAGTAGGGCCATGAATGAAAGGACAGCTCATCTTATTACCATTAATATGTATGTGTAGCATTAATATGAGCATGTAAAGCAAGCAAACAAGAAATATTTTGACAAAAATGTCATGTTAAGTTAAAAAAAAGGATATTGGTTATTAAGCATACACTGTGGCTAGGGAGAGACATTACACTCAAACTAGTTTAAGTCATCAGAAACTGGTTTAAAACTGTAACAGAACAGACATTCAGTGCACATAAACCAGTCTGAAAATGGCCAAAACTGGTTTGAGATAAACCTGGTTGAATCAGACTTAACTGATTTGGCTCAAACCAGTTTATGCAATGTCTGCCCCAAACCCCTTGCTGGTTTCAATTAAATCAGACTTGCCTAGATCCTGGAATGCTCTCTGGGCTGGGCAGAGCTCTATTCTCTGCTCCAGTGAGCTGAGCTGGCCCCTCTCTTCTGCTCTGTAGCCAGAGCAGGGGCAGGATGTTGCTGGCCTGCCATGGCCCTTGTAGCAAATTCCGCCCTCCGTCCCCTCTCCCCACCACCCTTCACTGGCAAACCCTGGGGACCACAGCTGCTGTTTGCCAGCCCCAGCAACACCTCCATGGCTTGCCTGCAGCCAGGCAGGGACGGAGTTAATTCCTCCCTCTGTCCCCTCTCTCCCCTAGAACCTCCAGGGGTTTGACTGCAGACTCTGTGGCTTGGGAGGGGATTAATTCCACAGTGTGTCCCTAAGAGGGGTGGGAGAGGGCAGGAGTGAAGTAAATTAGTCCCCTGTCTGCAGATCCAAGCCCTGCACCTGTGAGCCCACAGCTAAGACCTGCAGAACCAGACTGAGAAGTGGGAAATGTTGGCAAAGACTTAACAATCATTATACATGCCAGAGATGTAGTTAAGGGAAGCTGCAGACAGCTTCACCAAAGATGGCAGAAAGCTACATACCTAAACAAAGCCTTTCTGAATACCTAGCTGTAAGGAGATTCTCTGCCCTCAGGATTAGTAAAACTAATTCTTGTCTTCCTGGTTTACATTTTAAGTTAGAATAAGTTGTGTATGCTGTGTTTTACTGGGCTGTATCTTTGCTTAGATGAAGATTTTCAGTAGTTCCCTGTTGTATGCTTTACAAATTGCTGTGTTCAATACATGCTTGCTTCAGAGAAAGTACTTTTTCCCCATCCCCACTCCCAGGCCGCTGTGCTAGCCCCAGCTGATGCCTGGCTATGCCCCCTCCACTCCAGCAAGGAGGGGTGAGAGCCTTGGAGGGCATTTCTCTTCCCCACCTTTGGCAGTGGCTGGCAGACATGCTCTAGTGGCCCCCGGCTTCTGGCTGGAGCCACTACAGGCATGTGGCTGCATTTCCTAGTTTAACAGAGAATGTCTGTCCAGTTAATCAGTTTAAGCTGTGCATCCTGACTAACCTGCAAAGAGTGAATCAATTCAAGCTTGGGTTTACTGAATGTCTGTCCCTAGTGAAAATGCCTCCTTGTGTAGTTTCAATTAACTAAATATCAAGGTGACAGGCAATTCTTATAGCCCCTAGGAGCTACGAAAAACCATTCCAGGAAGATTAATTAATGAAAGTATGCTACAGAATATTTTATTAGACTGTCAATTAGTGAACAGACAAACTTAAAGCCTAGAACACAAAGTAAAGTGTTTCAGAGGATTGTTTGAGTTGGGAGACTGGGCTTGGGTAACAGTGCTCTATATTTATCTCTGGATCCCTAACTCTAGAGGGGTACAAAGAAGGTTTACCTCAGTGTGGAATGAGAGACCATGGGAGGGGAGAAAAAACCAAGAGTGACCCCTCTCTGCAACTTACCCTAGATGGAGCAAGGAATGCCAGAGGGAACGGAGCTCCATGCAGCATTTCCAGAGCCATTGATCACCACCAATGGCCTCATTGGTCAGAAAAGGGAAGCTGGGGAGAGAGTGCAGCATCGCAGGGCAGAAGATGCCAGAGGACTCTCCCACTTGCACTGGTTTCCAGCAGGTGGCAGATAAGGAGTGCAAGCAGCAGGCATGGGTGGTTGGAGGATCACTAGTAAATTCAGGTACTGAGGGCCAGGATGTTGGAGCTACTGTCCTAACCAGAGTGAACTGCCACAACTAAAGAGTAGTCAGGTCAGAGGTGGCACAGGCGAGATGGGAGGGGAGCTCAGCATAGAAGCCTCCCAGAGGGGATTGTTTTTTGACAAAAGACTGGAAATTAATTGATAAGGGAAGTGACCCAGAGGTGAACTGGACAATCAATCTCGGCTTAGAGACAAGGGATGAGTTGATGGAAGTATTTGTGGGATTTTTTGTTACAACTGACTGAGGCATGAGTTGATTTGTTTTTGTTGAGTTTGGCCCTTGGCAGGACTGTTAAAAATGGCAACTGACATGGGACATTGACCCTGAAGACAATGCTTGCCTGGCTGAATTTTGGCTGCCTGACCAGAGTCGGTTAAAAAAGGAATTGATTTAAGTTCATGTGTGCCCCTGGTGTCAATGAACCAATGACAGGGGAAGGAACTTGTTAAACTACCTGTCAAAATCCCCAAAACTCTCAGGGTACCCCCCGGTAGGGCCTGACACGGATCCTGGGCAGCCTGGATAGGTCTGATGTACGCAACCGGGGGGGGGGGGGGGGGGGAAGGTTTGCCCCCAGGATAAGAGCATCATACAACATCAAGGAGGTGGTAAGGGTGGAGTGTAGGGGAGGCAAAGCCCAACATAAAAACTCTATTGACAGGCCCGAGGTATCACCCAGCAGAACTAGATCCCCAACAGAAGTAAAATCAAAGTCATAGCATCATACAACATCAAGGAGGTGGTAAGGGTGGAGTGTAGGGGAGGCAAAGCCCAACATAAAAACTCTATTGACAGGCCCGAGGTATCACCCAGCAGAACTAGATCCCCAACAGAAGTAAAATCAAAGTCATCGTGGGCGAGAGAATAACATCAAAGAGCAGCTGGGTAACATCATGGCTTCGTTCATCCTGTCATCATCTGTCAGGAGGACATCAGGCTGGAGGGGACCCAGGTCTTACAGCACCTACTCTTGACACTCAGATTGAGAAATGCAGATATGCACTTTCTGTATAGTTAAGATGATTCATTGCATGGAGGTTGAAAGAGTAAAAAGAGATGAATTTCACACTGTTGTAGAAGTCAAAGAGCAAGTGTTTTGTGAAACAGCCTATCACAGCCATGTAAGCAATCAGATAGAGCAGTAAGATACATGACATATAGCACCCAGCCTACTATTAAAAATATCCTACACACTAAGGTACAAGTATGATAACCTTAATTTGTAAGTCATACTCTTTGCATACAAAACAGTGACTTACCTATGTCTGCAATGAGACTGCCAGGCTTTTGCTCCAATAGAAACTGACGAACACGAGGCCATGCTTTGCTTTGCAAGTCATTAAAATAGGAGGCTGTGCTTTCATACACACTGTGTACATGTTGCTTTTCTAGCTGGGTAGCCTCATGTTCCATCCTAAAGAGAGCATAAGATGTAACAGACAAATATTATGCATAGTAGCACATAAACTGTAGCAGTGGAGGTTGTAAATTTTTATAGTAATTTAGAGTTCATGGCCTGATAAATTCCCAGTTATAAAATTATAAGATTCACCTACAACATGTTATCTTTGTAAAGTGCTTTCTTTTCTCAAAGGATCTGATTTAGCACCATTCAAGTCAATGAGGTGGTTAGCCATGTTAGTTTAAAGTTGGATAAAGCAAGATGGCACCTTAGAGATTAATTGGTTCAGAGAGGCATGACCTTTTATGTGCTCAGAGAGGTATAAACTTTCATGAACTCTTGTAGGCAAGAACCTACTTTGTCAGGTGCATCTCTGAACCAGTCTCTAGATGCCATCCTGGCCTATCTTCTGCCAATCAAGTCAATTGAAGTTTTCCAATTGAGCTCAATGGACACACGGTAATGCCCAAAGAACATTACACAATAACCTCTATGTAGGAATGCACACTGACAGGATAATTTTACTAAGAAAATGCAGACAGTCTCAATGGGTGGGAAACCATACAGCAGTTTGGGGTACTAAATACAACTGAAAAAATAGATACAAGTACACAGAAAGTAATTATATGAATTGAAATGTGGCCAGGACATTGAACCTTAAACCTGATAATCCTTCAGAAAAGGGCAATGACATTTCTAATTCCCAATGATCTACAGCTGGTTGGAAAATTCTCATCAAAACACCATTTTCCACCAAAACACCCTTCTCCCTTTTCTAAGTCTGAATCTCAGTTCAGTGACTTCTCTGAAAGATGGCCCTTTCAGTATTGCTGTTACGACTGTGCTAGGGCACTTGCTTGATACAGACTGAGATATAGTGCCGACACTGACTCATTACTACAACTTTTTCATGACAATGTAATTTACTTTCCATCCAAGCATTACAGTCCAGCCTTATTAATCTCATGAGTTCTGATGAGATTACGTTCCATAGTTTTATGACTTCAAGCATTTATATGGTATTCTTCATGTTTACTCACATAGCTGACTGCCTGGTTTAGAAATTGTTCCTTCATATTATTAAAATGGGAGTTATTAATCACCCAGTGTTTTTATTCAAGTTGCCAACAGAGACTAAACCTGTTTACAGGTTCCCCCTGAGGCAACAAACAACACATTGTAGAGATGAAATCACCAAAGTGATTCACTTGCTTGCATCTGAAAATGTCAGAGGGACTTCCACTTGCCAGAGAATGCATTCCTCTTGATTTTCCTTAATTTTCAGGTACCACTAGTCTCTAGAATTAGTTAATTGTAATAGCTTTTAAGAGGCGAGTTTTAAACAGAATAACAAAAATAACATAAATTCTTTAACACTCCAGCCCTGAAAACAATTTAGATGTGCTTTTAACTTGGAATATTTGAGTAGTCCTATTCACTTCAATTGAACTGCCCATGCACCTTAGGTACAAAAGTGTTTACAGAATAAGACCTACAATTTCAGCTACTTATCTGCTTAATCAATTTTATGGCCTGTGTTATGCAGAACATAAAGAGCAGGTGATCATACTGGATCCTTATGATGTTAGCATCTATGAATATCTCCCTTTAAGAGAACCTTAACCGCTATATTAACTGCTTCAATATTCAAACTTTGACTGCTAAATTCAATGTATTAAAAAAAAATTCTCAGACCTTGACTGCTATATTGACTGCTTCAGGGAAAGAATGAACAATGAAATAATCAACAACACATGCCACCATAACAACCTCTCCCCCTCAGAGAGAAGGGCCATAGAATCCCTAAGATCTAACCACCAAATATTAATACAACCAGCAGATAAAGGAGGAACTATAGCTAACCTTAATCGTGAAGTCTATATAAAAGAAGCCAACAGACAACTCTCTGACACCACCTACTACAAAAAACTAGAGGATGATCATACTCCCCTTTTCACCTTGAAACTCAAAACTACCATCAAATAATTTCCATCAGAACTACAAGAAAATCTACAGAACTTGATCCCCTCACTACACAACCCAGGGACTTTTTACATGCTCCCTAAAATCCACAAACAGGGAACCCTTGCAGACCTATCATATCCAACCATGGAACCCTCACTGAAAAAATATCAGGTTTCATCAAATCAATCCTAAAACCTCTCGTCACCTAAAGAGTGAGTTTTGTCCAAGACAGAACAGACTAAGAAAGCTTAAAAACAGGCCACCATCCCAGCAACATTTCCCTCCAAGCCACCATGCATACTACCAGCCTATATACCAACATCCCACATCAGGATGCCATTCAATGCCTGCCTTACATATCTACAAGAGCAACATTACAACTCAGACTACAGACCCAAAGATATTACTGAAATTATACACTTCATCCTCACACTTAACTTCACTTTCAATAACCAACACTTCCTCCAGACCATGGGCACAGCTATGGGCACAAAAATAGCTCCACAGTATGCCAACTTTTTCATGAGCCACCTAGAAGAAAAATTCCTCAAGGACTGCAACATCAAGCCCATGATATACTTAAGATATATCAATGACATCTTCATCATTTTGACAGAAAACTTGCAATCTCTGATTGATGTATATTAGAAATTCAACAAGCATTACCCCTCCATCAGACTATCTTTGGAATACTTCAACACCAATAGTTTCTTTTTAGATATGATGGTCACTATCCAGAATGGTAAAATACAGAGTACCATATACAAGAAACCCATGGACCAACATACATATCTTCACAGAACCAGCAATCACCCTAAAGACACCAAGAAAGCTGTAATATACAGCCAAGCCCTCTGATACCACCAAATCTGCACTGAGAACACCCATGATTGTCACTTCACAAATCTCAAAAGGGCCTTCACTCAACAAGGATGATCCTCCAGAGAGATAGATCGCACTTTTGAAAAAGCCACTCAGAAACCACATGAAGAATTGCTGCAGTACAGAAGGAAAAGCCCCATGAATTGCACACCACTGACATATCATCCCTCCCTGGAACCTATACAGAAAATTCTCAAATAATTGCAACCCACACTAGAAGGAAACCCAACTGTTTAAGAGACCTTCTCAGAACCACCCATCCTAGCCTTTAAGCAAGCACCAAACCTTGTCAACCTCATCACCAGAAGCAAACTTCCTACGGTCCAAAACACAGCAAATGATCCAGACCATGCCATGACAAAAAATGTAAAATCTGCCAATATATCTCCACCACCCCCACAATTACTACACCCCACAAAAGAACCATCAATATTCCTGGATTTTACACCTGCACCTCCAGGAATGTTATCTATCTCATCCAGTGCACCAAATGCCCTGATGGAAAATATGTAGGAAAAACCAAATAACTGCATACCAGAATGAATGCACACTGAAAAATCCGTCAAACACAAAAATACCCAATTACCTGTGGGGGCACACTACTCACAAGAAAACCACTCTCTCTCCAATCTCTGAGTTCTACTCCTCAAAGGGAATTTACAAAACACCTTTCACAGACGAGCCTATGAACTTCACTTCATTAACCTACAGGATACAAAAAATCATGGACTAAATACAGACATTGGATTTATGACACATTATAATCTGCCTAACATCTGATTCTCCACGTAAACTATTTACCAGCTATATTAATTCCCTCCCCCCACCCCGCATCTCTCATCCTTTGACTACAGCTACATTCACTCCTCTTCCTACCCCCACCCCTCCACCTGTCTCTCACCTATTGACCAACCCAATTTACATTTTTAACTGACTGATCTTCTTGCATATGTACTGGCCTCTGGCTTCTATACTACTCCATCCAAAAAGAGCACAGACCATCTGCAGATGCTTTGTCTGCCTGACGAAAGGTAACTGCAAAGAAGAATTTTTGCCAACTATTAGAATTGGTCTAATACAGGGGCGGGCAATTATTTCAGGCAGAGGGCCGCTTACTAAATTTTAGCAAGCCATCAAGGGCCGCATGACAGGCAGCCAGGGGCAGATAAATATTAATTTTCTAAATTTTTTAGGGGCCCCATGGCCAGATAGAATGGCCTGGCGGGCCGCATGTGGCCCGCGGGCTGCATTTTGCCCACCCCTGGTAATAAAAGATATCAGATTCACTCAAAGAGACTTGTCTGCCTAGGTCCTTAGACCAACAGGGCTACACCCCTATCTCCCTTTAAAGCATTTACATTTAGTCTTAAGAATCCTTTCTTTCATCATTTCTTATGTGATCCAACATTTTGTTTTGTGACTATTTGCAACAGATTATTCTGAGTTTTAACTAGGAGCACTTAGAGTTGTAGAAACATGCAAAATTAGGGTTGGAAGGGACCTCAGGAGATTATCTAGTCCAACTCTCTGATCAAAGCGTGACCAACCCCAACTAGATCACTCCAGCCAGAAATTTGTTGAGCCAGGTGTTAAAAACTTCCAAAGAAGATTCCACCTCCTCTCTGGGTAACCCGTTCCAGTGCTTTACCACCCTCCTAATGAGAGAGTTTTTCCTAATATCCACGTAAACTTCCCTTGCTGCAACTTGAGACCATTGCTCCTTGTTCTGCCATCTGTCTAGCTCCATCCTCTTTGTAACTACCCTTCAGGTAGTTAAAGGCTGCTATCACTTCTAAATGTATAAAACCATATTTGTATAATTTTTCAGTCTAATTTGATAAGAGCTTAATAAGGTTGCCAGTTGACTTCTGTTTAGTGCTTTTTTTAAGTTATACCAAACTATAGCTAATTATCTGTGAGAGAACTCAGGCAAAGCACGTCGCATTGAAACACAGACATGAACTGTTGTGACATATATCAAAATTTGTTGAACTAGTGCTTCTTCAGGGTGCCATTTCACAAAATGTAGTAAAATAGGCTGGGTCAGTTCCAGTAATTGCAAACTACTATTCATATACTATTGTTAAACCCAAAGGTTTTCATCTAATTCAACCCTTTAATAAAATAGCTGAGTTACATTTTATCTTATTTTAGGTGTTTTATAC